TGGGTGACATGCCCAGAGCAGGCTCATCCACGGACAGGAAGGGGGCTCTTGGGGGCACGGGGCTGGGGGGTGACAGCTGATGGGGACGGGGTTTCCTTTTGGGGTTGATGGAATGTTCTGGGATTACACAGAGATGAAGTTGCACAGCCCTCTGAATTTGCTAAAAGTCACTGAATTGTGTGATATGCAAATCACATATTAAATCCAAAGCAAGGAATGAAAGAAAAGCCATGCCCTCACACCTGGGGGTGGGAGACCCCACGGGGGGCCCCTCGAGTGTTGGGGGCACCAAGGAGAGCCGTAGGACCTGAGTGGCTCCATGCCAAGCACAGTCAGAAGAGGCCCTTCCCTGGGGAAGCAGGTGGGGTAAAGGCTGAGGCGGGTTCTCCACGGACTGAGCCTGGGCCATCCCTGATGGCCACGAGGCGGGGTACAGAGAGATGGGCACTCCCAGCGGCCTACGCAGAAGTAGTGATTAGCGCAGCACCTGACTGGCCCATCGTGTCACAGACAAATGACCGAGTAAGGGGAGGGCCGGCTCTCCCTGAGGAAGACCTCCAGCTGATCAACAGAGGGGCAGGGACAGCAATGTCTGCTAAACAGACAAGTGGTGATGGTCACCGCAGGCCACATCCCCCAGTGCATGAGGAAATCCATCCCCGTCCCCACCACAAGGAACCAGGGTCCTGGACAGCCTCAACGCACCCCTCCCCGGGGGAGAGGGGAACGTAGAAGCAACCTGACCGTGGACGGGGGAGGGACCCGGCGCTGCCACCCCAACCAGGGCTCAAGGTCAGCACGGTGGGGGGGGGGGTGCAGGCATGCAGGGGACGCCCGATGAGGACGCAGCGTCCCGCCTGTGGGACTCCTGCCAGGAACACAGAAGCCCTCGGAAGCGCGAGGGCCCCAGGCCAGTCTGCTCTGGGGGCAGCTCCCTACAGGGGCCTCCGTGCCCACGGGCACTCTGGTCTGCCCACGAGTGTTGGGCTCCGGGGCAGCTCCCTACAGGGGCCTCCGTGCCCACGGGCACTCTGGTCTGCCCACGAGTGCTGGGCTCCGGGGCAGCTCGGGAGCCGGGAGAGGCAGGAGGGACGGTGCCC